CTTAGAGGCTTGAACAGTTTCGGTTCGATTTAGACAGTTTTTAGTCACAAAATGGCATACTTTAAACGCATTATTCACGCAAAGTTTTACCCCGATACAATCATTGTTGCTTGATTTGCATAGAGGACAGTTAAAGAATCAAAATTTAAACTGGTGTTACATGGGAAATAAGCGTGGTTGTAATCCGATTTCGCCCATTTTCGCACTATAACATAGAAATATGAGAAGAATGTTATGTACCGAATTTGGTTGCATTTGGTGAAGCAGATCCCATGATATGGGTTTTCACTGTCCACTGTCTAATTTTGAAGTCGGTTCCTATAAAGTCATCTCATACCATCCCAGATATAAAATTTAATGTCTCTGCCGTGTTTAATGCTTGATTTATCGCGCTTTAGTAGTTTTTAACAGTACCGTTATATGGGAAGTGGGAGGGATTGTCACCCGATTTTCATACTGTCGATAGAGGTGCTAAAAACATTTGTTCGCAGTGAATTTAGTTATTATAGCTTTAGCGGTTTAGAAGATATGCACATTAAACGTATTAGGGGGCATGACCACGCCCACTTAAAAAACAATTTAAACTGCAGATGCCCCTCCCTAATGTGATCCTGTGTATCAAATAATAATCTTGTATCTTATTGTGGAGCAGAGTTGTGGCAATTTATTTGTTTTTGATTAATGGCGTGTGGCGTTTTGTGGGCGTGGCAGTGGTCCGATTATGCCCATCTGCAATACCAACCGTCTTACGGTACCAAGAAACATGTGTACCAAGTTTCATAAAGATATCTCAATTTTTACTCAAGTTACAACTTGCACAGACGGACGGAACGAACGGACAGACGGACAGACAGTCACTCGTCTTCATCCTGATCATTTATGTATACATAACCCTATATCTAACTCGATTAGTTTTAGGGGATACAAACAACCGTTAGGTGAACAAAACTATTATACTCTGTAGCAACAGGTTGCGAGAGTATAAAAATATTGTGTAACTCTTCAACATGCATTATTCGAAGAAACCGAACGGATAACAATCAAATTTGGTATCTTATTAACTTATACAAGTATTAATGTTCATCGACTCATTTAGTTTTATTACTGCAGCTTGCTTATCAGGACTATATATTGCGTATATTAGGGCTAAGTGTGGATCTGGACTTATTGCATTAACGTTTGGCATTACTCAAATATACTTGAAAACTTGTTTTCAAGCAATTTTGTGTAGATAATTCACTCACTGACCAACATATTGGCAATATAAAGTCTGCTAGAATAACGAAAATTATGATATGTAGAATATGGGCGCTGGGATAATTCTTGGACCAATTAAATTTTACTACATCTTACATAGTGACCGATATATACGCTATAAATTCAACCCGTAATTTGGAGTACTAAGGGTACTTTGTTATCTATTGTAGGCACAAGGGCATAATGTTATTAAAGGAAGACGCTATTTGAATTTCCTTAACATATCTTACATATTGATCCGTATATATGGTTTAAGTCAATATGAAGTACGAAGTATTAAATATATGGCGGCTAGAGGAAGTATTGGCCCGACTTTACCCAATTTGGACACAAGCGCATGCTGTTATAAGAAAAAGATTCTCTCCAAATTTCACTAATATATTTCACATTTTCCCCGATATTTTTGGTAAAAAGTCAGCCATATGCACTGGGTTCTACAAATTCGCCGTCTGAAACCTTGAAATATGGAATACTACTGAATACTACTGAAAAATCTCAAGCCTTTTTGAGATGAAATAAAATGTTGGGATGTGCAACTTAAATAAAAAGTGGCAATTGCCTGTGCCTAAACGAAAGGAAAATCTCCGGTTAAGTTAAAAGACATGCGTTCGCGAGTGTGGTTTTATTACAATAGAATTCTTTATTTAAGTATATTATAATTTAGCCTAAACCTTAACCTAACGGCTTAAACTAGTGGTAAGTATGTATTACAAGTAGAAAAAGGGTAAGTATAAGTATACATATTTCAACAGTTTCGTTAATTCATTGTAAAAGATTATTGTAATAGATAATGTGGTCTGTAATAAGTATAATATAGTAAAGGTAAGTATTTTTATAGCATAAAACATTTATAATTCATTTCAACATTATTCAATTAATCTTTATTTATTTTTTAAGTTTATTTTTAACATATTATATATTTTATTTTAGATTCGAAAGATGCTTGACGCAACAACTACTATTTGAGTAATTTTTTATTTCAATTACGTAATTGTTATACATGGGAAGTAGGCGTGGAATGGAATTTATGTTATGCACCAAATTTGTGTCAAATCAGTCGAGTAGTTCTTAAGATAGGATTTCACGCCCACCCTGGCGGCCCATAGTCTAATTTTGATACCGACTCCTATGAAGCCTTTCAGTGCCATATAGTATGTAAAATTTAATGCTATTGGCGTATTTATTTAGTGAGTTATCACACTTTTAGTAGTTTTCAAGATAACCGTTATATGGGCAGTGGATATGGTAATCATCAGATTTTATCCATTTTCAAAGCATCGGAGGAGGTATTATAAAGATTTTCCCTGAGCGAATTTGGTTATTATAGCTCAAATGGTTTTGAAATATGTACATTAAACTTATTAAAGGGAGCGGCCACTCCCGTTTTTTAAATTTTTTAAACCACAAATGCTCTGCCCAACAGTTATGTATATTAATTTATAACTTAGCTATGGCATTTTATAGTTATTCGATTAATGGGATTTTATAGGCGTGGAAGCGATCCGATACACCCATCTATCTAACCTTATCATGGTGGCAAGAAACACCTGTACCAAGTTTCACCAAGATATCTCAATTTTTACTCAAGTCACAGCTTCTACGCACAAATGGACCAACAGACAACAACATGTTACGAGAGTATAAAAATAAATATGTAGATATAAGTGTACATGGATATTTATATTGCTACTAGCTTTTCCCGAGGCTTCGCTCGCATTGAATTCCTTAAATAAATATAAAAGATTATTAACAAAAAAAATAAATAAATACATAGCATGTACACGAATACTGTACTCGTACCTCGATTATCATCTTTTTGTTGGTGGTGATAACCAGAAAAGCCCAATTTTGTATAGTTTACAGCAAACAATCATAGTTTCCATAGTTAAAATTTTCTTCGATAAGGGCGAAAACGCAAGCCAAGCGGCTGAAAATGTGAATAGCGTTTATGGTCTTAATACTGTAAAAGCCAATCATGCGCATGTTTAGTTTCGCCGATTCCGTTCCGGTAATTTCGATGTCAAAATCGCACCACCCTCTGGAAGACCAATTATCGAAAAAACCGATCAAATAATGGAAATCGCCGAGTCCAAACATCGATTCCGATTGTCTAGGACTTAACCATTGCACAAAAAACCGTTCGGAACCATTTGATTTCATGCGAAAATAATGGATTTCCTTTTACTACACCAATATATAATAATCGTATCGTATGCACGGTACTTTTCAAAATAAATCTGTCATTGTTGCAGTCAAATGGTCTACGGTTTCAAAATAAAATGCAATATGTATACATAAATTCCTTACCATTTATATACACAAAGTAAAATGTAAGCCGTACTAGTTAAATAATTTTTGTACGTATATACGTGAACTAATCCCTCCGATATCGAACCACTATAGCATATAGCTATCATACCAACTGAACGATCGGAATCAAGTGCTTGTATGGGAAAATTTTGCTTTTGACGAGATATCTTCACGAAATTTGGCATGAGTTATTGTCTAAGGCAATAATCCGAATCAAATTCTTGCAAGGAACCTTTTGTATTTGTGAAGGGTATTATAGCTTCGGTGCAACTGAAGTTTACGTTTTTTATTGTTTTTTTCCATCAAATTGTCATTGGATTTGACACAATGAAACACCATGTGAAAGATATTTCTAAATAAGAATTCAGCTGAAATAAAATTACAGTTCTAAATAGTTGAACGAGCAGTTTATAAATATTCATTACAAAAATGTTGTTATTATTAGTGGTATATTCATAATTACTTGCTAAATTTTCATATCAAGACAAGCGTGGAGGTAAGTACATTTTTTTTTAATTATTATAAAAATTGGATGCAATATATTATGTATATCATATCATACTTTTATTATTTGAAGTTAAATAAATAATTACTAATTTACAACATTTTGCAGGAACATACTTGTATAATAACAATGTAAGCATTGGTTATATCCGAAATATTATTGTGCTAATTCGGTTACAGCGGCCACTTGTGTAATTAGTTCATTCTTGATTTTCCAGATTTTGATGAAAAAATCTGTCCCCAATGCCACAATAAGGTAGAAATCACTAATTGTAAGAAAAATATATTGAGTCGAAGGAGAGTGTGAGGCGTGTGCAAATAATTTAATGACATGTTTCTCATATGCATCACTTTTTGAACGTTGCATTGGGTTTTTAATAAGGCTCAGTTCATTTCGTTTTGTTGCTTGCTTCAGTATTTAAAATTTTCTACAGCATTAAGCATTTAAATAAACAAATAAACCAAAATTGTAGATTTTTAATATCCGATCAGCAGATCATGTTTATGCTAATAAGAAGAAAACATACTAGTACTTGTTATGCCTAAGATGCATCCCAAAACTGTTTACACTGCACATGCATACAAGCATATGAGTGTGACACTGGTATGTGACCTACTTAGCTGGTGGTTCAACACCCACCCAGCAGCAAGCTTGATTTTTCTAATAAAAAATTCAAAGAGAAATTTACATTCCAAACGAAGAGAACATAATACCCGCGAAAATAAATATCAAACGGATAAAAAGAGAGTTAAGAATATGTGATAGAGGCTATCACCAAAATACCTAAGCATTGCAACTTTAATTAGCTTCAGTGTCAAAAAAGTATGTAGTTAATATTGTGGATAATAAAACGTAATGATAAACGGTGATTTTGACTAGAACATTTTGTCCCCCATGTTCTTTTATGCGTATGTAAACAGCTACAAAATCTATTGCAAATACATTTTTTATTTACATACAATATATGGTATTGCATCCGCTGTGCCTTTTTTGGACACAAACTGGTCCACCTCTGGTTACACTAACTCCTATTGTCGCTACACGCTTACACATTCAATTAGCTATTCTAAGACTTGGTTTTATGCACCGAAGCAACAGCAAAGTCGGCATCAGTGTCAACGCCAACACCAGTTATGGCACCACAAGACCTGACAGAAGCAGCAGGAATCCACATAAACAGCAACAACGATAGACAAACACTTAGTGGGCACCTTCGATTTTTCCCCCAAGCAATAGCGGTTATCTGCAACACGACGATGGAGAAGTGAGCAAAGTTTGAATTTTGTTGAAATTTGTAATGTAAAGCACTAAAGCAAAAATAGCAACAACCAACCGAGCTGACAAAAGACTATGTGTGTAACTTGCATTTCGTAGTAAAAAATCTGAGAGACGTGTTGTGGTTTTCGGATTTCATCTTGCCACAACCACACGCTCGTACATACAAACACTGACAACAACATATCACATCATTTGTGCGGTTGGTTGATTGGAGTACTGACTAGAGCTGACTGGTTGGATAGGTTTCATGGCATTTGAAAAACTGGTCCCGTTTACTCTTAGCTCATAGCCAGCCAACGTAATCCAATACGGGTTAATCATGGTGGCTTCTTAAGCGTTGCCTTTTCTACTACATCGTTGTCCAACATTTGCGTCTAATTTACAAATTAAATAGTGACTAATTTCTTGATTATTGATTGCACTCAAGCGTTAGTGGAACGCCAATCATATCTAATTGCTGTATTTGTTTAAGTTTCGAAAGCGCGCCGCTTACTACTGCGCTGTAGTCTCTTCTTTTTTTGTTCCTTCCAGTAGTTTTGATAATCGCGCTATTTTATTAAAAGATGCAACGAACTTCGCATAAAATGCATGGGTGGAATGACAATATGTTAAGTATACAAACAGGAACTCGACAAAACTATTTTGGTATTTGCTGAAGTAGAAATATATCTGTGAATAATATATACACATGTATGTACCTTAAAATATTTTTTAGACAAAAATTATGAAATGTAAATTAAATTGAATTTAATAAAAATTGTAATTGAATTGAATTTAACAAATTTAATAAAGAAAGTATAACATTTGTACCAAATAAAAGTTAGGAGAAAGGTTTTTTCATTATTGCTCCCTAAGAAACGCAGTGCCAAGACATAACATAATTTTTGTATCATCTCATCATAAGAATGGAAACTTACACCCATTATTTTATGAAACCGTGTACACTTTTATTGATATTATTAAAAACAGTTAGGTAATTTAATACATTTTTCGCAATTCGATTTATTTTTAATTTGTTTTTGCTTTTTATTAAATAAAACTTTTAATAATCTTCTTTCCCTTCGTTATGATTCAATCAATTTATGGCTAATTCGCAAAGCATAGAAATTAAATGGTCACGTGTTAGGCACGAGCCTTTATGAAGACATGAAAATCGGGGGAACTGAAACTCAAATATATGTATGCCTTGTGTTTAAATAATTTAATTATTTTTAAAAAAAACATTAGGGTGGCATATTAAAGTGCAAATGGTTCGAATTCACTTTTCTTTCAAATTTAATAGGGGATAAAAGATAAATTCTAGTTTAACCTCAGATACAGGGTCCGCCAACGGATTAGTATTGATTTCAAAAAAACATAACTCGATCATTTTTGCAGATATATTTTTATTTCTGGTCTTAAAATGTTCCCAAGAAGGGGGATTTTTATGATAAAGTCACGTTCTGAAGTTCACGTCGAGCATATGGCGGCCATCAGCAGTAATGCATGAATCGAGTCTCGAGATGAAGCTCGTAGCCACACTGCACAACATGGCCCGAGGGATTCGTTCATGATGGCCTCCTTCAACTCGTGCAGGGTCCTCGGCTTTTCTCTGTAGACTCTCTCTTTTAGGTATCCCCACAAAAAAAAGTCGCAAGGGGACAGATCTGGGGACCGGGGGGGGCCAGGAGACATCACCGCGTCGAGAGATGAGGCGACCAGGAAATTTTTGGCGGAGGAAGGTCATTGTGGCATTTGACGCAAGTCGCTCCATCCTGCTGAAACCAAACATTTCTCAATGGGATATGTTTTCGTCGGAGTTGAGGGATAAAAAACTCATTCGACATGGTGAGATAACGATCGGAGTTCACTGTGACTATCACACCGTTTTCTTCAAAGAAATAAGGTCCAATGACTGTATTCTTCCCGACGGCACACCACACTGTAACACGAGGGCTGTGCAGAGGCTTTTCATCAAGTTCTCTTGGATTTGCTGCCCCCCAGTATCTGAAATTTTGTCTGTTGACGAATCCATTCAGGTGGAAATGCGCTTAGCCAAGTAACGGCTTGACGGCCGCACGGAAGGATTTTGTCAATTAAATACATGTCGCGGCACGTGCTCTATATGTTGATGTATGTACTTGTAGTACTAATATGCGTATGACATTGCAAAATAAGTAATGCATACACAAATCTACATATATATATCTAGTGTTTCTAATAAAAACCAATGCATCTAGACCCAAAAATGCACAACTAGTATCACTCAGTTTATTATGTTTATTTTATAAAACCGCCAATAAAACATTAACCCGTTTACTTTTTTTGCTGCAAAATGACCCTGGCCAGAGAATGTTGAATGAGTAGAGAAGGAGCAATGTTAATGAAAACTTTTTGATACAATTTGTAATTCCACAAGAGGGAAGCATCGAAAAGTATAACTTCGAAAAAGAAAAAATACACCACACAATTGCGAAATGCTATAATAGACACAGTGAACGAATATTCCTATATAAAAAAACGTTGCGCATACCTATTTAGACTTAGTTTTTAATTTCTATGATATGAACAAATTTAATAATTATGAAAAGCTTCTGATTAAAAATCTGTATTAAACCGGTAAAAACCACCAGAATTCATAATAAAATAAACATTTAATAGACATTTTTCCAACTTATGTATGTTGCGTTTTATGTGAGCTAATTGCTTATTAAGACCAAATGGATAACAATAAAGGTGGCTAAGCGGCACATTTCCACTTTGTGGTGGGCTGAAGGTCGTAAGCGGAAGGGGTTAAGCCAATCCGAATACGAACTCTATACGTTCGAATCGTAAAACTCATGAAACTGAAAATTTTTATTTTAATTTTTATTTTATTAATTGGAATCTAAGCATATCAATAATTCAATTATTTACTTCTGAGATAATTAAAAATTTCAGGAAAATATGTTCATATGTTGGTTTATTGCAATATTCCTTTATTTATGCGTATGACCAAATGTGATAATCACAAATACATTCAATGAGTACACGTCGCTGATGCGCTTGCTTCTTCTTGCCCGCACAAGCAAATACTTTTGTCCCACACACAGGCAAGGAGGGATTGGGGCGCACTGCCACATAATTATTTTCAGATATATATTTATTTATCGAATTAGTTTAGAAAACGAATTATAGGTAATGAAAATATGTTTATTTATTATATATATAATTATATATATTATATTACGAAAAATAATTCATAAAATGCATCAGTATTTTTCAATGACAAATTAAGCACATAATAATTATACTAAGAAGTCCTAAGTTAGAACGCCTCTGTGTATGGTGGCAAGCCAACGAAATAACAGCGAGTTCCGCGCGGACGTGTTTGTTGAAAAACAACCAAGACGATTTGTCCACAAACATACATATAATATACATACATACATACATATATGAGCTCGCGCATATTGACACAAATTGTGTAAAAATCGCGGCCGAAGTTGATCAATTGTTGAATCGACAATTTGCGACAATGTCGATCGGCTAAATGTTGTCTCGTTTGTCCTTTTGGCGTGGTTGCTAATGAAAACTTGACTTATGCTCTTTTGAAATATTGTCGATTACCAATTGGGCATTTTCATAGCGTCGTATTTAGATAAAATGGGCTAAATCGACAAACTATGAAATAATGATAATAGTAAATATGTAAAGAGTACTATGATGGACCTGTGCTTAGAATATATAGAAGTGTTAATGATTTCATATAAATACAATTTAATATAAATTTTGTAATTTAATGCCATAAATAGTGCATAACTCATCATAAATAAATATTATTTAAACTCGCTAAGAGTCATGTTGACAATTCTCCTTTTTGAATGAACATCAGACAAATTCTTCAATTTCTGATGAGGGTTTGATGATGAGTAGGAATTTTCAGTGATACAAATTGTAAGGGAATTGAAATTTTGCTGATTCTTCAATTTTACTAAGACATTCAATTCAAATTTCAATTTCATTCATGATATGTGTACAATGTGTACATATATGCAATATTGGACATGCGAATGAAGGAAGGCAATTTCGAGAATATTCACATATAGACATATGAATATTGAAGCAAGTAAACAACAATAGCCGTTTGAGTTCACAGATTAGACATAACAGTTGTTGAATATTGTTCTGTGGTGCTGCGCTTGTTAAGCGCCTTCTTTATGGCAATGTAAATATTTTGCTAAGTTCATATCTATCACATATTTTATATAACTCTTTTATTTTATACTCTTTTTTATTAAATGATATTTTAGTTCTATTTTCATATTATTTCCCTCATTACTTATATTTTCTTTCATAAGTCAATTATTTTCCTTTTTTATTATTTTAAGTTTTGTTTATGCGCATATCAAGAACATCTGTGCATATGTATGTGTATACATTTTGCTTATAAGTGGGTGTAGTTCGTTTCGTACCCTGATAGTTGTGGTGAAATTTATTTCAACGGCGCGTTTTCGATGTTCCTCCATCGTAATTAACATTTTAGTACTGCTAACATTTGCTCCTTCTCTATTCATTTACGTTCTCTGCCCTGGCTATGTGCTAGCCTTAATAATTTTATCTTCCATACTGGCCGGTACTAGCTATGATGGACGCTTCGTTCTTTTGTTCAGTCAGAAGTGCCAATTTCGTAATTGTCAACTACCGTATTGTTCCTACAATCGGCCGTCCTGACCTATTATTCGACCTCGAATAATTAAGTCTACTTTCATATTTTCCGCAACTGTCATCGTTTCTTGTTCAAGTTTGGGTATGTAATAATTTCTTTGCACAGTTTCCTGTGTCCTTTTTGCTGCAAAATGACCCTGGCTATGTGCTAGCAATAATTTTTATCTTCCATACTGGCCGGTACTACTCACAATTCCTTGACGGGGTCACTGTAAGTAACTCATTCTCAAAAATTTCTCGTATGCTCTACTTCCATAGCTTTCCCTAACCTCTCTTATCCAGTTATCCTGCATTTGCGCATCCCTCTTCTCTACTTTAACGAGTTTTCTACTAACAAACAGTATGCGCGACTAAGAGCATTACGTGTCTCATTCAGCGCCTGACCTATGTTCACCTTCATAATTGTATTCTTGCAGGTACATTGCCCACCTCATAATCTTGTCAGGTACGTCTTGTTTCTTGACCGTCTAGTGAAAGAGTTACAGAGTTTCTTCTGTCCTCAATGTTTACGACTCATAAATTCAATAGGATGCAGTAGATTGTCTTCTGGGTCCTTGCAATTAAATTGAGCCATACCCGAATTTTGACGCATCCGAATGTACTTCTGTTTCTGCATTTGTATCGAAAGTTAAAAGCGGGCGCGTTCACCAACGCCGCTGTAGTTCTTGAATGGCTAAGAGTTGTTCTCCCAGCCTAAATTTTCTTCCTGGCGAGCATATCTGTTAGCGACTTAGCAATAACTGCATAGTTTTGTATGAACCGTCTGAAATGAAGTCAAGCCTAGAATCGTAAATCTGTAACTCCTTCTTGCTGTTGGACTGCTAGTATTTTCTTTGAAGGAAGAATTCTACCGTTTTCCACGATGAACCCTAAAAATTAATTATTTTCTTTAAATTTGACATTTATACCATTTAATGTGTACCCGCCCTTGCATGCTTTAATACTCTTCCTTATTTCTCTCGACCTTCTATCTCATCC